GGGCTGTGTGGGCCGACCCACATGTGGTGGGCTGCACATGGCTGACCCGCACATGGTGGGCTGTGCGTGGTGATGGATCTGGAATGGTGGCCTTGGGGCTCTGCTCCCAGCCCTGCCCTGGGCTTGCTTGGCGGCCTTGGGGCAACACAGTTGCCTGTGGGGCTCTGAGAGAAAAGGACCCCCTTCCCTGCTCTGGTCAGTGGCCGTGTGGCGACACCCGCAGGGTCCCCACATGTCCCCGCCTATGCAACGCCTGCCCAGCCAGCTCTCCAGCCTGGAGCCTGAAGAGTGAGCTGCAGGCCCCGGGAGCCCCTCCTCCCACAGTAGAATCCAGGGCCAGTCACCAGCCTCGCCCACCCACCATGCGGGCAGTGCCCCCCCCACGGGCACGTGGGTGTGGAGGTGGCCCCAGCCCCTCGAAGGCCCAGCAAACGGTGCTGCTGGCTGAGCAACAGTCCTTCCCAACCGCAAGCTCGGGCCCCACTGTGCTCTCCCTGCCCCAGGCCACAGGGACAGACACAGGTGGCCCAGGCGGAGGACACGGGAGCCCGACTCAGCCAATGACAACGCCGCGAGGGGCCTGCCACGTGAGGCTGTGGCCCTCCCGGCGCTGACACCTGCAGGACTCATGCCAGCAGGACGGGCAGGCAGGGAGCTAGGTCGGGGCAGAGAGCTGGCACCCAGGACGGCTCGGGCAGCCGGGACACAGGCCCCGCGGGTCAGCCCAGGGAGGGAGGCGGCGACCTGGGCACAGCAGGGAGGGAGCACAGAGCTGCCCCTGGGCAAGGAGAGCAGTGGGAAGGGGGAGCGACGGGGGGAGAGCATCCATCCGGCAACTGGAGGCTTTCCAGACAGCAGGCCAGGCGGCAGGAGACCCTCCTCCCCGCCCTCGGGTTCATGCTGGGCACTGGCGGCAGGAGGCCTGAGGGATGAGCCAGCTCATTGGCGCTACTCCCGGCCACCGGGCTCCGGACAGCCACGCCCAGGAAGAGGCCGCTGGCTGGTGGACGTGGGAGATGGATCTGGGCTGGGTTTTAAAAAGCCGTCCCTGGCCAAGGCTTGGCTGGAGGGTATGGACCCCGTGGAGGTGGAGGGCAGCCAAAGGGGCGGGGCCAGGAAGGGGTGCGCCTCTGCCAGCGCCAGTGCCCCGAGGAAACCTGACGCCCATCTGCCCCAGATGACACCCCGCCTGCTTCCCACCACTGCACCCCCATGTCCAGCTTCCCAGTCAGCGTAGGCTCAGCCCGCACCCAGACCACACCCAGTGTCTGGCTGGGCAGACAGGACAGGCAGGCAGATGTGGACCGACGAATGCCTGAGCATGGCACCCGGCCCCAAACCCCCCAACTGCTTGACTCGGTGACCGGGCACGGCCCCACGGGTCAGGGTCAGGGTCAGGGAGAGCCCGCCACAGCCGGGGTGAGCTTTTCCACCCACCGCCACCCGCCTCGCCAGGGACAGGCCGCCCTCCCGGGGGAAACACTCCGAGCCGGACCCTCACCCTCAGCCGGGGCTCCCAGGAGGCGTCGGCCCGGAGGGGAGGCCGGGAATCGTCTTTACACGCAGTGACCCACGTCCTGACTCCCAGGCACCTGCCCCTCTGCAAGCTCCTCCCAGCGGGCCTCCCGGGAGCAGAGCAGGGTGCCGGGCCGGAGCACTGGGTCAAATCCTGCCAGGTCCCCATGGGCCCATGACTGTTAAGTTACTGAGCCCGGACCTGCCGACAGGATCCTAGCGAGGCCTGGCAGACACCGGAGGTCAGTTCTCCGCCTCCTGCTACCCACCTCAAGAGCAGGCCACGCCCTTCCACCTGGGCAGAGCACGTGGGAGCCGAAGGGTCGCTCAGCCTCCCGTACCCCGCGACCAAAGTCCCCAAAAGGCCCTGAGCCACAGTGGCCATGTCTGCAATGGCGATGACATCACCCCTCTCCCCCTCCCTCGTGGCTGCAGGATCGGGCAGGTCGGGGCTGGGGATGAGCTGATGAGGGACATCGGTCAGGACCCTACGGCTAAGATGCTGCAATGCTGCCTGGGGGCGGGGGGCTCACTGTCCCAGGCCAGGGCGCTAACAGTCAGGGCTGGGCCACCCTTCTCGCCGGGAAATCAGAGGCACAAAACAAGGCCACCCCCCCACCGCACCCCCGGCATGTGGACCGCCTCCCAGGCGGCTGGCACTGGCTGCTCTGGCTGGTGCTGGGCACCGGGCCGGGCAGCCAGGGCTTGGGCTGGCTGATGTTCCCTCCTGTGCGCAGGCCTGTGGGGGCTGCAGGGCTGGGCTGGCTGGGTGTCTGCGACCCTGCGGTTTCCCTGGGAGGCTGTCGGCTGCAATTTATTATGTTCTTGAACCTCGGCTTCGTGCACCGTCAGCGGTGACGGCCTCGCTGGCACTCTGAGGGCAGCCCTCTCCGAGGCATCTGGTTCCCCCAGCGCTGCCTGGGCCTCTGCTGGGCCCGTGAACGGAGGGGGTAAGGAAGACCCACGGGAGAGAGCAGAGCTGGAGGATGGGCAGGTCGTGGGCATCAATGTGGGTGAGCCCACCCCGGGGGCAGGGGGCAGGAAGGGAGTCCAAGGTCACTCCCAGCAGAGGGCCTGGCATGGACCCTGAGGCCGATGAGGAAACACATGGCACGTGCCAGCGGGGCTCAGTGGTTGAACGTCGACCTATGAACCAGGAGGTCAGGAGGTCACAGTTTGATTTCTGGTCAGGGCACACGCTCCGGTTGTGGGCTCCATCCTGTGTGGGGACGTGCAGGAGGCAGCCAGCTGATCAGTGACTCTCTCTCATCATTGATGTTTCTCTCTCCCTCCCCCTTCCTCTCTGAAATCCATAAAAATATTTAAAAAAAAAAAAAAACCAAACACATGGGGTGTGCAGGCAACAGGACTTCTGCTCTGCTGGGGCCACGAAGCAAACCGGGGAAGATGTGGCAGGAGCCAGACCCCCGCCTTCACCTGCAGGAGGCAGGGAAGGACTTGGGGACACCTGCCCACCCCAAACCCACGCATTCCTGTGCCCAGGCACCCACAGGGCCTGCAGAGGAGCAAGCACCCAGGTGAGTTGCCTGGACACAGGGCATCCAGGCCAACAGAGGGAGAGAGTTGGTGGTCCGACTAAGGCTGCACTTCCTCCGGGAAGCCTCCTGAGGTTTGCCAATCTCCCAGGCCCTTTGCAATCACGACTTGGCTCCTGACCTACACTGGCCTTGGCAGGCATTTGCTGCGCCAGATTCCTACCAACGACTTACAACTGTGAGGCTGCCCACATGAAAGCAGTTAAAATGGGCTGCAACAACCCAGCTGGCATGGCTCTGGTTGAGCGTCAGCCTATGAAGCAGAAGGTCACGGTCCGATTCCTGGTGTGGGGCGTGCAGGAGGCAGCCCGCCGACCAATGATTCTCTCTCATCATTGACATCTGTCTCTCCCTCTCTCTTTCTCTCTGAAATCAATAAAAATTTATTTCTTTCAAAGGCCAAAACACTCCAATACCAACAAACTTCACCCATATCCTTCACCCTAATACTTTGTCCACGTTTGGGGTGCAGAACCACCCCCAATCCTGCTTCCGGGGGACTGAAGATAAAGCAGAACACGAGCACCGGGCGGCACGGACAGGACATGGAAACACCGGAGTGGACAGGAGACGCCCTGCGGCAGGACACAGCAGGGAGAGGCTGGATGGGAGCGGCGGGTGAGGAAGTGTAACGGACAACCAGGGCCGGCTGCCTGTCGCTGCTGCAGCCAAAGGAGCAGAGGCCGACCGGGCTGAGTCCTAGATGAGCGTTTATCCCAGTCCTGCCGGCAGCGCGGGGAGCAGCAGGCCCACAGACACCTGCTCTGCACCCTGAGGGGGGGT